CAGCAATTCACTCAATCCTTATGAAAGCAAGACTAAATTGGACAGGAGCCTGCACTTCATCTTCTCTCCCAACTCCTCTGGGTGAGAACTGTTGAGCAGACCAGGTTTCTGATAAAGTAAAAGCAAACACCATTCCCTTGTGCTAAGATACAGGAATATTATCCTGACATTTTAGCATGGATCACTCATATTGCTGCTCATTCTCTCCACTCCTAGACCTGTGTCTTGACAATAGAAACATTCCCCGAATACAAACAAAATAATCAGCGTTGAAAACCAAATTCATGGTGGAAGCATGCACTCCTCGGTGAGAGCTATCTGTCAGGCTAGATTTGCCTCTCGGCCTGTACGAGTCTAAGCAAATTGAGTTTGCACTAGTTACTTTTATTCTAAATATTTTTATTCTGTCTTTCCTATGGTACTCTTGTTTTCACATAAAAGTGTGAACATTTCTAAGATCTGGCCAGCAGTCTGATAAGATCTGGGTTCAAATCTGTGTGACAAAAATATAGAAAAGAAAGGTAAATAGCATAATAACTTGCAGTGATGTCTGCCTCTTCCTGATTTTTTTTTAACAGAGGAATTTATTTCACACTACCTCAAGGAATTACAATCATCATCCAACATTTTTACAAGCTGTTAAAATTTGAAGATTAAAACCTGCACTTAAGTAAAAAGTGCTTCTAAGGAGGAATTTATCTGTCATTTGTCTTGGAAACAAGATTTGTGTGCTTAACTACTTGGCAGTCCACAGAGTGACTTGTCCCATCCAGCTGTTTAAAATCACTTAACGTGATAAATGACAGCGATATGGGGTCACTGGTGAGAAACAGCAGCTTGTCCTGCAGGAACAGCGGTTCTGGGAGATGTGAGACCTGGCTTGGCCTTCTCCTAAACCCAGATTTACCCCATCAAAGTTCAGACCCTTAAGTTAGTTCCTATAAACCACTCTCTTAATGCTGGCAATAATCTGCCAATATCCATACTGGGAGATGGCGAGGAGCTGGATCTAGCTGGCAGAGCAAACTGGGCTGTAAGGCGAGTACACATTTAATGCGCCTGAGGAACAAACCCACTGTAGACAGACATTGGCAACAGGAGCAATTTAACCTGATTAAACACTGAAACACGGTGCTCTGCAAACAAATTGTTTTGACTTGATTGGATTTTTTTTTTTTTCATTTTTTGTGGAAACAGCTAAGCACAAGCGATGAAAATTCACAGATTTCTTTCAGTCAGCTCTTCCTAATGAAGATGTGGGTGATTATTGGAAAAATTAGGTCCCCAGAGAAACTTAATTTTACCTAGTCTGGCCTGGAGATAGAGGAGGTTTTATACCACACCTGAGTGAACTGAGCCCAGTAACAAGCTTGAATCGGCTTTCAGGTCTGGGGCCCTGAAACCTTATCTGCTGCGGGGCTGAAGCAAAGCTGGATTGCCATTTCACAGGGACAAAAGAAACACTTGCAGAGAGATCTGAGATTTTCTTCTGCCTGCGGTGGGTACCCTCTCCAAAATAAATCTATGGGCTGGTCTATGTGTATAGGCAAGAGCAAGGCCTGGCACCCTGTGGTATTCCTGACCAATAGGGGAGTTGCTGCAGTTTCTTGAGAGAAAAGAGTTAACAGCATTGCAGAAGGCATGCCAAGTAATGGGTAATGACGACCTCTGCCTGCAATCTTGAGACAATTTGAGGGCTTGGTGAAGAGACGGTGCCCACCAGCGCCTTCTCCTCAAGGAGCGCGGGAACACCACGCGCCCAAGATGGCTGTCCGCTCCTGGCCTGCCGCCTCCCTCACTCAAGATGGCCGGCCAAAGACAAGCGGCTGATGCGACGAGGCTGTGGCGGCCATGTTCCTTTCGGGCAGCAGAGGTCCTGCCAGGCGGGACTTCGCCGCCCTGTACCATTCCGCTGAGGGGGGAGGGCGAGGGGGGAAGCGGTGGTTTCGCCCGGGGGCGGTGCCTGGGCGGGAGGAGCGCGGCGGGCGCGGCGGGGGCGGGGG